TATTGAAAGTGGGGTATTTCCCTGGCTGGTGTGACTTGGTAGATTGAGTGCTAGACTGCAAACCAAAGGGTCGCTGGTTCAGTTCCCTGGCAAGGCATATGCCTGGGTTGTTGGCCAGGTTCCCAGTAGGGGGCACACAGAGAGGCAAGCACACATTGATGTTTTTCTCCCTCCTCTTCTCCATCCCCCTCTCTCTAAAAATAAATAAATAAAATCTTTGTTTAAAAGTGGGAAGTCTCCAACTATAATTGTTGAATTGCTTTTTTTTTTCACTTTAATTTGACAGTTTTTACTTCATATATTTATGTCATATATTGGGAGTCTATGGTTGGATGCATATGTCTATAATTTTCCTCTAAGTGCTGCTTCTTATATCCCCCAAATTTTGCTGTGCTCTGTTTTTGTTATTTTTTGGTTGAAATATTTTGTATTGTAATTTTCTAAACTCATTTATTTATATATACATTTTTAAATTTCCAAGTACATATTTGGTAGTTTTAAGTGTTTTTGTTGTTGTTTTTTATTTAATATGTGGTCAGAGAATGTACTTGGTAAGATTTTAGTCTTGAAACTTAACAAGACTGTTTTGCAGCTCATCATAGGATCTGTCTTGATAAGCCTTCCATGTGAGATTGAGAAGTAGTGTTTTCTTTATCTGTTGCAGGAGTGGTCAGTTTTGAAAACTCACAAAGGCCTGACTGCTGTAGCCCTTTCAGACCTAAAAGGACACCTCTTACAATTCACCATTGGACTGGACACAAACTCTCTGTGTTCCATCTTTCTTCTTTAAATGTCCATGTCTTGCTTTCAAGTGAATACCCACTGATTATTTTTGAGTTGAGAGGATTTTTTCTCAAGTTTTCTCAGAACCTTCTTTACTCTCTCCATGCTATGTCTATATATTTATCTATTAGATTTTTTTATTCTCATGAGCAGAGATCATTCCGGTAGCAGGTGACCAATAAGTAATCAAATTTTCATGAACTGAACCTCATAAAACTGGACTACCTATATGTCTTCAGTTTTTTGAGACCTACTTTACCATCAGTATGTTGTTTCATAAAATTTTATAATTTCCAGAATCATTCAGTGATTTGAGGTCTAAGATAGGTTTACCCTTAAGTAATATTTAGAGAAGTTGATTAAAAGTAACTTTCTTTTTGAAAATTCCCCTATGCATTTGCTACATGGGAATTTTCCTTTTTGTTTTTTAAAGATTTTATTTATTTATTTTTTAGAGAGGGAAAGGTGGCAACCCTTTGATTTGCAGGCTGGTACTGAAGCACTGAGCCACACCAGCCAGGGCAAATTTTCCTTTTTTAAGGACTGCTGAGCTTAAGACAAAGGGATTAAGACATATTTATGCCCTATAAATAGGGTTACTAAGTAAATAAAACATGCCTTGAGTAATAAGTAACTCCATTTAGAAGTTAACATTGACTCCTTAGGAGAAAAGGCAGTATTTATTTCACTTGGTGATAGCAACTTAAAACTGATGACCACTGGTAATGGGGAAAAATAATTATTTGGAAAGATATTTTGGGATATGTGGTGAATCCCTCGAGTTTGGGTTTTTGTCTTTGTCTTTGTTGTTTTTGAAGTAGGTGCAGAATAGTGTAGTACCAAGTACCTCGGTACTTGTCATTAATTTGTTCCAGAACTCACAAGTGCTGAAATCAATGAGTACTAAATGTTGAAGCATTTTTTCTTGCAGGGCGGTGTGGTGACCCATAACAAGTTTAGCAAATGTGATGAGTCCCGAACAAGTGCCCAGTGCTGAAACATTTTTTGTCGTCAAAATGCAATGCGTATGGGGCTTGATGAGTTCTGAAACTGATGATTACCGAGGTCTGACTGTAGAGTTTTTATATATTTTTTAAAGGTTTCTAACTTTATTCTGTAACCATTACGTTGGACTAGTAAAAACACAACTTGTTAAGCCTCCTAATTGCTCACCGAAGACACTAACCTTTGCCAGGATTTTCTACACATTTAGGAGTTTAGAGTGCTTAGAATTTCTGTGAATGCATTCACTGTTGAGTAGTTTTACTGTTCTCCATACTTTGTAGTCTTTTTTAATTCCTTTTTCATTTTGAGCCTCAAGATGTTAAGATGAATGTGTTCTTTATACAGTTGAAAAAACACAGTTGTGACTATTGCTTAGCTATGATTCAGATAAGATTAGAATTCACACCTTTTTAAAATAATTTTTGAAAAATTTTTCACCTATTCAGACTGCCAATAGGTAATAGAATACTAAATCTCTTTGTTGTAAGAATTAAAGTAGCTAACGCATACAAAGCACTTAGCACACACCTGTTTCCACTCTTTGTGAAGAGACTCTTTTAAAGCACAGGTGGCAAACACAAGGCCTGCTGGTCGAATCCAGCCCTTGTTTCTACCCGGTGCTGAGCTCTTGCTTAACTCTCAAGGAGTAGTCATATTTATATATAGTCCTAAAATTACATTTGGCCCTTTGAAGGCAACCATGAGGCTGATGTGGCCCCCAGTGAAAATGAGTTTGACAACCCTGTTTTAAAGAGTACAACAAATTTTTCTCCATTTAAAGTCCTCCATAGGCTTCTAACTGTGCTCAGAGTAAAACCTAATACCATAAAGTGACCTACAAAGCACTGTGTAATCAGGTCTTCCTCATGTTTCCTATTATTCTCCCCCCTTCACTCCACTGGTTGCCCATCCTCCAGCATGCTTGGCAGGCCTCCTCCTCAGAGTCTTTTGTACTCTCTCTCTTCTCCCATATAGCTTCATGCTCACTCAGTCTCTCCTCACATGTTACCATCTCCACGCGTCTTACCTGATTACAACCCCAATTACCACCTCCATCCTGCTTAGCACTCTTTATACCCCATCCTCCCTCGAGTTTTCCCTTTAGCACTTAGCACCATCTGACATTACAGATATATCTGTTGTGGGTTTTTTGTCTGTGTCTCCCATCACAACAAACACATGCATATACAGCTATTGCATGAAGCTCCAGCAGAGCAGAGGTTGATTTGTTGTGTTCATGGCTGTATCCCCATACTCTAGAATACATGGCAAAGTCCATGCTCAGTAAAAGTTTGTGAAAAATTAACATAATAAATGAACATCCTGCCCAGTTTGCTAAAAGTCTACAGGCCATCTGCTTGTAAGTCATCTGGTGTGCTTTTGGGAAAATGCAGATTCTGGGGCCCTCCCCAGGCCTCCTGAATTAAAATCTGTTAGGCTGGGCCAGAAAATTTTTATCTACCTGGAGGGACACAAAAGTTGGAGAACTACTGATCCAGCCCAAACTGGTCATTTTACATGAAGGCCAAGGCTACAGAGCTAGTTGGCAGAAAACAGATACTATAACTATCATTCCATGTTCTTCGCACTGCAAATTATTTTTATTTGTATCAGCTAAAATGGTGTCATGTTCTCCGGAAGAACTTGAAAAATGACTCTAGCTAGCTGTTGGGGTTTCTACAGAGACATGATGCTACATTAATTAAAATATTTATTTCAGCCCTGGCTGGCATGGCTCAAGTTGGTTGAGCATCATCCCACAAAGCAGTAATTCACTGGTTTGATTCCCGGTCAGGGCATATGCCTACGTTGCAGGCCTGATACCCAGTTGGGGCTTGTGCAGGAGGCAGCCAACCAATGTTCCTTTCTCACATCGATGTTTCTCCCTCTTTCTCTCTCTCATTCTCCCTCCCATCCCCTTTCTCTCAAATAAATAAATAAATAAAATCTTTTAAAAAATTTTGTTTCAGATAGTTGCAAAATGAAAAAAAAAGTAACCAAAAAACATGACTAGTTCTAAAGATTATATACAATATTCAGGAAAATATAAGTGTTAATCATGGGATTTTGTTTTATTACTTTGACCCAAATTTTCTACTACTACATTTCTTTCCTATACTAAAGCATAATCATCCATGTAAGAGAATTCCCATCTCTTTATTTCTAGTTTAATCATTTTGTATTCTGTTTTACAGATTCTAATTCAGGATATATTCTTTTTTTAAAATTTATTTAATTGTTTAAGTACAGTTTTCTGTTTTTTACTCCCATCCTAGCCCACCCCCCACCCTCCAGTGCTCCCCACCTCCCTCCCATTTCTATCCCCCTTAGTTTAATTCAGGGTAGATTCTTAACTTCTAAGTCTTGGGACACTTTTGCCAGCTGTTAATTTTTCTCATCTATAGAATGGGAAAGTTCAAGTAGATTGCTTCATATTTTCTTTCTGATAGGAATTCAGTTTTTTAAGGTACCATTAAGTATGGTACGATTGAATCCTACAAAATAATTCAACTTCTTGTTATGCTTGTATGATTGTTGATTATTAGAATTGTGCCTGTGGAATATATTTATTGAATGAGGTTTTTTTAAAAAATGATTTTATTATTTTAGAGAGAGGGAAAGGTAGGGAGAAAGAGAGAGAGAAACATTGATTGACTGCCTCTTGCACACGCCCCAGGGGGGGACCAGGCCTGCAACCCAAGCATGTGCCAGGACCAGGAATCAAACTAGCATCATTTGGCTTTGCTGGAGGACACTCAGCCATTGAGCAATGCAGGGCTTGAGTGTGGATTTTTGTTCCCACTACAATTTGAGTTCTAGAGGGCAAAAACTTTCCCTATCTTATTTACTATTTACTAGGTAACTTTTTAGCCTGGTGCATTGAATGTGGTAAATGCTCAATAAATACTTGTTGAATGAATGGTTAAATGAATGATAGTGTTGGCATGGCTGGAGGCAGCATAGTGCTGTGGAAAAAGCATGCACACTTTGGTGTTCAATCATTGGGATATAATATTTCAGAAGCTGAGAAAATTATTTGGGATAATGTATAAAGTTGAAAGCACAATGCCTTTCACTTAAAAGTTAGTTTCTTATTTCAGTGCCTTAGATACCTAAACTTTTTTTTAACCAAGAGATTTTTATATTATGTAAACTGGAAAAATGTGTAAGCTAGATTAATTTGAACAACTCTTGTTGTTTTTATCTTATAGTTTTACATGTGGCACCCATAAAAGATGAGGCTGAGAACACGGAAGGCTTCTCAGCAATCAAATCAAATCCAAACACAGCGCACTGCCAGAGCAAAAAGGAAATATTCAGAGGTTGATGATAGCCTACCTTCAGGAGGAGAAAAACCACCTAAGAATGAAACTGGCTTGTTATCTTCAATTAAAAAATTCATTAAAGGAAGCACACCTAAGGTAATGGTTTTACATTGTACTTAAATTATTAAAGTTTCGGTGAGAAATCTAATATTGTTTGAACCCACTTTAAGGGAATAAGGTGTTATTTTACGAATACTAACATTTGGTATCTTGTTCATTAAAGTTTTTCCTACAAATTCATTTCATTGTAATGTCATTCAATTAATGACTGTTTAAGAAATCATTTAGTCTACCTAACTGATCCACTTAGCCTTCTGGGATTTTTCCCTTAGCATAATATTATGGGAAGTAAAAGAAATTTCTTGTAAAAGAAAGATTTTATTTATTTATTTTTACAGAGAGTGGAAGGGAGGGAGAAAGAGAGGGACAGAAACACTGATGTGTGAGAGATGCATTGATCAATTGCCTCACAGAGCCCCAACTGAGGACTCGGCCCATAGCCCAGGCATGTACCCTGACTGGGAATTGGTCTGGTGATCCTTTGGTTTGCAGGCTGGCACTCAATCCATTGAGCTACACCAGCCAGGGCTAAAAGAAATTTCTTTTACTTGAGTTGTTTTACTTCACTTTTTCTTCGTTCACATTTTTTTTTCACGTCAAAGGAAAGGTAAAATTTCTTATAAATATTGGGGTAGCCAAAAAGTCTGTATGGTTTTCTCCATAAAATTTTAAAACCCACATTTTTACCAATAATTTGATTGATTTGTACAATTTGAATATGTCAGCTATTTCCCTCATGATATACTGGTAGCATTGATTGTTCTCAAGAATGTTTTGATTTGATCACTGTCAATTTGAACTGGTCTACCTGACCAACCATAGAGCATCATCCAACAAGAAATCTCCAGCATAAAACTTTTCAAACCACTGTGGACACATTTGATGTCACAGAACCTTCTCCATACACTGTACAAATCTTTTTTGTTTTTCAATTGCGTTTTTACCACTCTTCATATTTTCTTTTGTTTTTTAAGATTTTATTTATTTATTTTTAGAGATGGGGTAGGGAGGGAGAAAGAGAGGAAGAGAAACATAGGTGTGCCAAACTGCAATGTTTTGGTTTGTTGGCTGGCTCTCAATCCACTGAGCCACACCAGCAAGGGCGTTTATTTTCTTCCGTGTTTAGTATTAAAATGGCTACACAAAAATTTACCAATTTTTTTAAATTGTGAAGTTTTTTATAAAGTACAAACTTATATAACAGCTGTCACAATACAGTCTAACAAAATTGTTTCAAAGGAAGTTAACTACAACTAATCATACTGGAGCCATCTTACAAAAAAACTAAATGAACTTTTTGGCCAACCCAATATAGTAATACATTGTCTAATTAGGGAGATGATTTACCTATATGCATTCTAACGTTTATGCAATGAAAATGTAGTATTTCATATTAAAGTATGGGTACTGACCAAGGGTCAGATGCTCCACATTCATACTCTGGTCTTACTTGAGTGATCTCAGGAAAGTAATTTATCCCTCTGAACCTCAGGAAGACAGCAAAATGGAACTAATACCAACAGTTTGTCTATCTCAGGATTATTTTCAGAGTAGGTGGCAAACTGGTGGGAAGCAGTTTGAGGAATTTTAATGCACTCTATAAATGGATGGTGCTATTAACATTCATTGTATGTAGATTGTATCACTGTTTACTGTTGTGTTCTTGGATTATTAAATACTACAAATTTTCATTATAATGTAAATATCACTTTGACAAGTAGAAAAATAAATCACTATTGCTACTTATTCACAGTGGTAGATTTTGTTGTTATGTAACTAATAAAGCCTATTAACTGTAAAGCATTGGCCAAGATTTAGAAGTACTGTATGTTTCTAGAGTTTTTCTTTGTATTGATAGTTTCGTCTTATTTTGTTTTTCTAATATAAGTAAAATTTTTTTGTTAATTTAAACAGAATGTTTTAAAAGTTTTCTTGAGTTGCCCTGGCCACTGGCTCCATTGGTTGGGTCCTACAAAGGGGTGGGGTTGCCCGTTTTATTCCAGGTCTGGTTGTGTTCCTGGTGCTGGCTTGGGTTGAGCCAGATGGTCAGGCCCTGTGCCAGAGGCAACTGGTTGATGTTTCTCTCTCCATTAATGTTTCTCTTCCTCTCTTTCTGCCTTCCCCTCTCTCTTAAAACAAAAGTTTCTTTGAGTTAATTTTTATAAACTTAGAAGTAATCTACAGCAGTTATATAAGAAATACCAAATTTCTTTCAGAAATATGAATCCCCCAATCTATAAATTCCTAATGGGTTGTCCTCAACTTTTGTTGATGGGAATGTTACTATTTGTCAGTCTGTTCTCTGACAAATAGAGAATAGTCAGTTTAGCAATTCTAAATCTTGTAAAGTTCTTCATCTTAGGAAAATATATCTACCCTTTACTTTTAAAAAAAGATTTTATTTATTTATTTTTAGAGGAGAAAGGGAGGGAGAAAGAGAGGGAGAGAAGCATCACTGTGGTTGCCTCTTATGTATCCCCTACTGGGGACCTGGCCTGCAGCCCAGGCATGTGCCCTGACTGGGAATTGAACCAGTGACCCTTTGCTTCACAGTCCGGTGCTCAATCCACTGAGCCACACCAGCCAGGGCTACCCTTTATTTTCTTATATGTTCTTTTCCTGCATGTGAAAGTGCAAACCCTCAATCACTATCTAGGCTGAATGTTTAATTTTCATTATATTACAGTTTATGATATATACCACTGTCTTGGTCACCCCTTTTTATTTTTTATAAAAGATAACAATCAGATGTGAAGATAGGGTTGTTTCCTGTGTCTCCTGACTTCTATTCATTTTTTACTTCCTTTGAATTTGGCATACTTCTACTGTATTAATATGGCATGATGTTATATCATATATTGTATTTTATTTTTTCCTCCTTCACTGGTTAGATTTTTGCCCTTATCAACTAAAACAGTTAAGATTTTTCTATAGAACTTGCCATCATTTCTTTTTTTCTTTCTTAACCAACATCTAAGATTTTAAATTAATGCCTACTTACTCAAATATGTTAACTAGTATAGGGCCATGAAAAACCTGTTTGCAAACTAGTATCTTACTCATTAATTAATGGTTTGGAGCAAAGTTTTTCCTGCAAATTCATTTAATTTTAATGTGATTCATCCCAGATTTCTTTATTATATTCTATAAGATTATTATAAAAATAGTATTTGAATGCCTTACTGAAATCAAGGTACACTTTTTTTTCTACTGGTCTACAAACCCTGTGTAGAAATAAATTAAAAGTTTAACTCGTCATGTATTAATCCTAATGAGCTTATAGTAGCTTCTGATTGTTATTTCTTTTTTCTCTACATTGTCATTATACTATCTCCTTGATAATATATTCTAAAATTTTTCTGAGTATCTAATTTTACTGAGTATGCAATGCTTACTCATGTTCAGTATCTTAAATACAATATCATTGTCCTTTTCAAAATTTGGGTGGGAGTTGACAGCTAATGTTTATATAGTGTCTGTTAGGTGCTTTATATTCAGTATCTCTTTAATCCTTGAACCATTTTTTGTTATTTTATAGACAAGAAAAACTGGTTTATTGAATTTTGGTAACATGTACAATGTCAATAATAACAACAACAATTATAATAAATATCTTGGCCAGGATAAAAATAACAATAAAGAACAAATAAAAATTGAGCAGTTACTGTGTGCTATGCACTATTCTCAGTACTGCAAGTGTAATGACTTCTTTAAGCCTTACAGATCATATAAAATAGGTGCTATCATCTGTATTATAGATGAGGAAACAGAGGCACAGGGAGGTTAAATAACTTGTGCAGGGTTACTTAGCTTTAAATGGCAACATTAGATTTAAAACCCAGGTACTGGCTTCAGAGCCTACATTATTTTTAAAATTTATTTTATTTTTAAAAATTGTTGTTCAAGTACAGTTTTCTGACTTTTGCTCCCATTGCAGTCCACGCCCCCAGCCCTCCCCACCTCCTTCCCATTTCCAACCCCCCCAGCCCCGTTTTTGTCCACATGTCCTTTATACTTGTTCCTACAAACCCTTCCCCTTTTCCCCTGAAAGTCCCTCCCCTCTCCCATCTGGTCACTGTCAGTCTGTTCTCTATTTCAGTGTTGTTGATATTTTGCTTGTTTGTTTTATTGATTAGGTTCCTGTTAAAGGTGAGATCATAAGGTATTTGTCTTTTTACTGCCTGTCTTATTTCGCTTAGCATAGTGCTTTCCAGTTCCATCCATGCTGCCACAAAGGGTAGGAGTTCCTTCTATCTTTCTGCTATATAGAATTCCATTGTGTATCTGTACCATAGTTTTCGGATCCATTCATTTACTGATGGGCACCTAAGTTGCTTCCAGCAGTTGGCTATTGTAAATTGTGCTGCTATGAACATTGTGGTGCATAGGTTCTTTTGAATAGGTGTTTCAGGGTTCTTAGGATATAATCCTAGCAGTGGAATTCCTGGGTCAAAAGGCTGATCCATTTTTAGTTTTCTGAGAAAATTCTATATTGTTTTCCATAGTGGTTGTACCAGTCTGCAATCCCACCAACAGTGCACTAGGGTTCTCTTCTCTCTGCATCCTCTCCAACACTTATTTGTTGCTTTGTTTATGATGGCCACTATGACTGGTATAAAGTGGTATCTCATTGTGGTTTTAATTTGCATCTCTCTGATAGCTAATGATACTGAGCATCTTTTCATGTGTCTCTGGACCCTTTGTATGTCCTCCTTGGAGGTGTCTATTCAAGTCCTTTGCCCATTTTTTAATTGGGTTGGTTGTCTTCTTAGAGTGGAGTTGTGTAAGTTCTTTATATATTTTGGAGATTAAACCATTGTCTGAGGTATCATTGGCAAATATGTTTTCCCACACAGTTGGTTCTCTTTTTATTTTAATAGTTTTCTTTAGCCATGCAGAAACTTTTTATTTTGATGAGGTCCCATTTGTTTATTCTTTCCTTTATGTCCCTTGCTCTAGGGGACATATCAGTAAAAATGTTGCTGCATGGAATATCTGAGATTTTCCTGCCAATGTTCTCCTCTAGGACTTCAATG